TTATGGCTAGAAAGATTCGCCTGTTGATGCTGATCAAGAATATATATGATTTATAGGGTCGGAAATGACTCCTTCACATATTTACAAGCTTCTGACTAAAGCCTAAATACCAATTTTTAGTCGATATTATTTATTTTTTTATATGACAATTTGTTCCACAAATTCAAATTTTAAAAAACTCATAGCTAGGCCAAAAAAGCATTAATTTTAAATCGGAAAGCAGCCCTGTGCTAGTTTTTAGTAGGGTAATAAATCTGCATACTCAGTTTAAAATGTAAAAAAATCACAATTTTGCCAATTTTAACGATGTAACCCCTTATAAAATATTGAAAAATTGGCAAAAATTTATTTTCTCTCCTTTATGGCTAGAAAGATTCGCCTGTTGATCCTGATCAAGAATATATATGATTTATAGGGTCGGAAATGACTCCTTCACATATTTACAAGCTTCTGACTAAAGCCTAAATACCAATTTTTAGTCGATATTATTTATTTTTTTATATGACAATTTGTTCCACAAATTCAAATTTTAAAAAACTCATAGCTAGGCCAAAAAGCATTAATTTTAAATCGGAAAGCAGCCCTGTGCTAGTTTTTAGTAGGGTAATAAATCTGTATACTCAGTTTAAAATGTAAAAAATCACAATTTTTGCCAATTTTAACGATGTAACCCCTTATAAAATATTGAAAAATTGGCAAAAATTTATTTTCTCTTCTTTATGGCTAGAAAGATTCGCCTGTTGATGCTGATCAAGAATATATATGATTTATAGGGTCGGAAATGACTCCTTCACATATTTACAAGCTTCTGACTAAAGCCTAAATACCAATTTTTAGTCGATATTATTTATTTTTTATATGACAATTTGTTCCACAAATTCAAATTTTAAAAAACTCATAGCTAGGCCAAAAAAGCATTAATTTTAAATCGGAAAGCAGCCCTGTGCTAGTTTTTAGTAGGGTAATAAATCTGCATACTCAGTTTAAAATGTAAAAAATCACAATTTTTGCCAATTTTAACGATGTAACCCCTTATAAAATATTGAAAAAATTGGCAAAAATTTATTTTCTCTCCTTTATGGCTAGAAAGATTCGCCTGTTGATCCTGATCAAGAATATATATGATTTATAGGGTCGGAAATGACTCCTTCACATATTTACAAGCTTCTGACTAAAGCCTAAATACCAATTTTTAGTCGATATTATTTATTTTTTTATATGACAATTTGTTCCACAAATTCAAATTTTAAAAAACTCATAGCTAGGCCAAAAAGCATTAATTTTAAATCGGAAAGCAGCCCTGTGCTAGTTTTTAGTAGGGTAATAAATCTGCATACTCAGTTTAAAATGTAAAAAAATCACAATTTTTGCCAATTTTAACCCCTTATAAAATATTGAAAAAATTGGCAACAATTTATTTTCTCTCCTTTATGGCTAGAAAGATTCGCCTGTTGATGCTGATCAAGAATATATATGATTTATAGGGTCGGAAATGACTCCTTCACATATTTACAAGCTTCTGACCAATTTTTAGTCGATATTATTTATTTTTTATATGACAATTTGTTCCATAAATCCAAAATTAAAACATTCATAGCTAGCCAAAAAAGCATTAATTTTAAATCGGAAAGCAGCCCTGTGCTAGTTTTTAGTAGGGTAATAAATCTGCATACTCAGTTTAAAATGTAAAAAAATCACAATTTTTGCCAATTTTAACGATGTAACCCCTTATAAAATATTGAAAAAATTGGCAAAAATTTATTTTCTCTCCTTTATGGCTAGAAAGATTCGCCTGTTGATGCTGATCAAGAATATATATGATTTTAGGGTCGGAAATGATAATAATAATAAATCTGCATCAGTTTAAAATGTAAAAAAATCACAATTTTTGCCAATTTTAACGATTTAACAATTTTAACCCCTTATAAAATATTGAAAAAATTGGCAAAAATTTATTTTCTCTCCTTTATGGCTAGAAAGATTCGCCTGTTGATGCTGATCAAGAATATATATGATTTATAGGGTCGGAAATGACTCCTTCACATATTTACAAGCTTCTGACTAAAGCCTAAATACCAATTTTTAGTCGATATTATTTATTTTTTTATATGACAACTAGCTGTACCCTGCCACGTTTCTCTGTGGCATATTATGGTTAAGAGGGCACTTCTGAATACATCAAGGTTCTGGCAAAATCATCTTCCTGGCATAAGGTGAAGAAGGCAGTCAGAGTTGTCGTTGGCCGATTCAGGACTCTTTCTTGCACATTTTTTTCTGTGAAATAGACACGTTGACCATTCTCCAAATGGACTGCCACGTTTCTCTGTGGCATATTGTGGTTGAACGCATAAGAAATAAGTCAAACAAAAAATAATCATTTTCAAATTAATTTAATTCTGTAATACTTGTTGGTATACAATATTCTTTGTTTCTCCATTCTCCGCGTAAATATAAAGACTTTTTGGTTTTCCGACTCGTGAACACGCAACATATAATTGTCCGTGTGAAAAACAATCTTCATCCAAATCCAGACCACACAACTCCAGAGATTGACCTTGAGCTTTATTTATGGTCATTGCAAACGCCAAACGAATGGGAAACTGCAATCTCTTGAACTGCAACGGTGTATCTGTCGGGATCATAGGAATCCTAGGAATGAGGACATCTTCACCTTTGAAAGGACCAGTTATGATCGTTGCTTCTACTATGTTGTTCATCAATTTCTTGACTGCGAGTCGCGTACCGTTGCAGAGTTTCGGCTGATTTATATTCCGGAGCATGTAATCGGCACACCTATTTTTAATTTCAATATGTGTGGTGGCATTCCAGGCAGATCAAGTGAGTTTAGAAATTCGGTAGGGTAATTAACTGCTTCCTCTGCTTCCACAACGGTATCTATCGACTTATATGTAATTTCGTCAGTTTCTATGCTTTTTTGGATTACATGATTGAGCTGGTAGACATCTTTGTTCTTGGCAGCGAGAATCGCTCGTCCACTGAGCCAATCGTGATTCCTATAATTTATTCGGATATTGGGGAACACTTTTTGGATAAGTTCTTCCTTCGATGTAACTAAATTACAGAAATTCCCGGGCAATACTATTTTTCTCGACGTCTCATTGACTGGCAGCTTTCCGTTCCCAATGTCCAGTAGCTGTCGTGAGAATACGTCGGCTGAGTCATTGTTCTGTAACTGGACACGCATTTTCGTCTTCAACTGTAATGTACGTACATGTTTCCACAATATAGAATATTTCAGGCAAGCATTTATCTCGTCAGCTGGTGTCGATCGGGAAATCACAGGCAACGTTTGTCTGAAATCACCTGCGAGCAATATTAACGCGTTCCCATGCATTGCTCTCAGCCGCTCAGTCTCTCGGAAGGAGGCCCGTTCTTCGTCAGTCATATTCGTAATCTTACGTCTTTTTGCTTCTGTATTGCGAATACAACGACCCAATCTCGACTTTTTTGGTGGCATGACTTCGTTTCTTACTGAACCTGAACAAAAAATAAAATTTTTATCTCCAATTTCTTCTCTCAATATGTTTTTAATGTTTGACAGGAAATGCTTTGATTTGCCTGTAGAGTGCGCAGTAGTAGGGGCACGGGGAAACGCTAAAAAATAGATATATTCGCAACCGCAGATAAGCTATCAACATCAAAAGTAGTCAATAACCGAGCTGGAACCTCAACGCATGTTCTCTAAAAATTTTGGCTTAAACGGTTCAGAACTTTTCAAGTTTCTTCTTTCAATATGTTTTGAATGTTTGACAGGAAATGCTTTGATTCAGCTGGCTGCCTGTAGATGGCGCAGCAGTAGGGGCACTTGGAAACGCTAAAAAAATAGATATATTCGCAACCGCAGATAAGCTATCAACATCAAAAGTAGTCAATAACCGAGCTGGAACCTCAACGCATGTTGTGTAAAAATTTGGGCTTAAACGGTTCAGAACTTTTCGAGTCTATGAAGGATGTAGACACGAACAGAGCATTTTTATATATATAGATTTGTTCCACAAATTCAAATTTTAAAAAACTCATAGCTAGGCCAAAAAAGCATTAATTTTAAATCGGAAAGCAGCCCTGTGCTAGTTTTTAGTAGGGTAATAAATCTGCATACTCAGTTTAAAATGTAAAAAAATCACAATTTTTGCCAATTTTAACGATGTAACCCCTTATAAAATATTGAAAAAATTGGCAAAAATTTATTTTCTCTCCTTTATGGCTAGAAAGATTCGCCTGTTGATGCTGATCAAGAATATATATGATTTATAGGGTCGGAAATGACTCCTTCACATATTTACAAGCTTCTGACTAAAGCCTAAATACCAATTTTTAGTCGATATTATTTATTTTTTTATATGACAATTTGTTCCATAAATCCAAAATTAAAACATTCATAGCTAGCCAAAAAAGCATTAATTTTAAATCGGAAAGCAGCCCTGTGCTAGTTTTTAGTAGGGTAATAAATCTGCATACTCAGTTTAAAATGTAAAAAAAATCACAATTTTTGCCAATTTTAACGATGTAACCCCTTATAAAATATTGAAAAAATTGGCAAAAATTTATTTTCTCTCCTTTATGGCTAGAAAGATTCGCCTGTTGATGCTGATCAAGAATATATATGATTTTAGGGTCGGAAATGATAATAATAATAAATCTGCATCAGTTTAAAATGTAAAAAAATCACAATTTTTGCCAATTTTAACGATTTAACAATTTTAACCCCTTATAAATATTGAAAAAATTGGCAAAAATTTATTTTCTCTCCTTTATGGCTAGAAAGATTCGCCTGTTGATGCTGATCAAGAATATATATGATTTATAGGGCCGGAAATTATTCCTTCATGGGTTTCACATATATCGAGAGAAATTTTATCTGGTTTTACATTAATAAATCTTTCCCATTTTCTTCTCTTAGTTTGAATTTATAAATAATTTATATAGATAAAATCGTTACAGAGATATTTACTAACCGAAATTATTGTTATTCCTTACAGTCCACCACATCTGCTCCGGAGAACAGTGGCAGCAGCACCTCCAGCGGAGGCAGCGGCAACTATGGCACCATTGGACGCAGCTCCAATGGCATGGCCTCGATGATGGACGAAATGGCCAAGACGCTGGCCAGACGACGCGCCCAAGCCGAGAAGAAAGATGTGAGTAGACCGTTAACATCTTAAAATGTCTTTACCTAAACTAAACAATCTTCCGCAGCCCGAGCCAGAACCCGAGGTGAAACAACGACCCTGGGAGAAATCGAATACGTTGCCCCACAAGCTGAGTGGTGGCGCTGGCAATGGATCGGCAAACCATGGGGAGCGAATGGCACCTCGGGCGGAGGAGCTGGAAGCAATACAACGAATAGCGGCGGCGAATCACCACGGCCCATGCGAAAGCGTTTTGGTAGTGCCAGCGAGGAGACCATACTTAAGGTGGGTTTGTCATTGCAACCATAAATATATCGAGGGGATTCTAATCTCTAATCCTTGAAGCAGGTTAATGGCGATGGCCTGTCGCTGGCGCTGTCAAATGGCGAGCTGGACACACTGAAGGCTGAGATAGTGCGGGAAATGCGACTGGAGATCCAGAAGGTCAAGAATGAGATCATAGATGGTAAGGAAAATCTTCTTCAAAACTTGGTTTTTCCTAATAATCATTTCTCTTTGGTAGCTATCAAATCGGAGTTCAATCGCAGATAGATCAAAGTACTTTTACGTTAAGCGCCAAACGGGTCACCGAAACTCCTCTACAACTCCCACCGAATGCGCTGGCAGATCAGGATGGGGAGTCAGGAGAGGAGCAGAGCAGAGGCAGCCGGGGCGTGTAATTTAAGACATTCGCAAAGTATTTCGATGATCGAGGCTCGCAACATTGCCAGAATGTTGACGGATCGGTCAGCGAGGAAGAGAATACGCATACTTATGATGCACTTGCTCTAGGTTAACACAAACAAAAACACAAACGCCGAGAGGTGGAGATAAACGTTTAGTCAAAGTAATTATATATTTTAAACTGGAAGGAAGACACACTTTTCCAAGTTATGTAACTAATAACTCAAACCCCTGTTGTACATTATTCTTTGCATATATAAGTCTTTTTTAAGCCAACTTTTTAGTGTGAGAACAAAAGATAATTGCTTGCAACCGGTATCGTATGTATCCCTAACTAAAGATAATTTAAGGGATAGGATATGTAGCTTTCATACATTTGATTTGCACATTCTCTTTTTCAAGAGATCCTGGAAGGCATACAATTCGTATGGCGTTACGCGTCTAATTCTTTATATTGTCCTTTGACCCTACCCACTCTCTTTCGTTTGTTATGAGATTTCCTCCATATGTTTCGTACCCAGAAAAGAAAAAAAATCAAAATGAACAACGTTTGTAATTAAACTTGGAACGTATCTCTCTCTAAACACACAAAACAAAAGAATATACATATACATATATATACCGTTTACTATATATATGTGTATGGACATACTCATTAATACCTAAAACCTAACGGGAAACTAGTATTACGACGACAAAGAATTCCACAATTCCACCAGTCAGTCATCCAAAACAATGCGCATTTCCCCAAAAAATAAGCGAAAACAAAACAAAAGCCACAACATTTTCCTAAGCACACGATCTCATTAAAAAACGACTCAATTTAAGAACCAGCTAAAGTCTTCAGTAAGAAATCAGCAGAAAAAACACAACACAAGTTCAAAGCGGAATTGAGCGTGGTGTTCAGGACTCAGACTTGAACTAGAATAATCCCAAAAACCCTGCGAATACAGCGAAGAAAAAATTAGAAAGCTAAATTAAACAATTGACTGCTGCGTATTATACACTTAAAACAAAATATATATACAACATATATATACTAAAAGTAATACTAAAGTAAACTCCCAACCCAAGTAAATGCCGGATTCTGAACATGTGCGTACCAATTCAACTTCCATTATACGATCTAAGACTTAAATAGCGAAATTATTGAATGATATATGATATGTAAAAGCAGGCCAAGCAGAAACGGAAGAGTAAGGATCATAACGATGGGGAGAAGAAAGCGGAAACGAAGAGAGAGCAGAGTTTAGTTCTTAAGGAATACAAAACGAAGTGAAATTGTTTATTAAGTGAAACAAAAATCTTATTTATAATGATGGGAGAGAGAGTTAGTAGTTGTGTATAATTCGAATGCGTATATACATTTTAATTTTTGTAATTTAAAACGATAATTTTACATATATATTATACATATATTGACTGTGTTCGATATATAAGTGTGTACGAACCAGAAGATATAAATTATAGTGCGGATAAACACCTAGTTATATGTATATGGCTTGGTCGTCGATGTGTGAATGTAAATGTTATGATTTTTTGTATTTTTATATATGATCTTTGCATTGCGGCAACAAAACCAACAATGGGGCAACAATTTAACATTAAAAAAAATATAAAAAAAAACGAGGACAACACACGTAAACTATTTTAAACGAGGCGCAGCGGTGAGCGCAAATTTTTATGTATTAAATTAAATATATATATTATACACTTATATACAACCAGAATATTCAATATATATACAAGCCGGCATTGACTCGAGATCAAAATATATATAAAATAATTTAAAATCAGCAACGGATTCACTTAGATCGTTAAGCGGGGCGTAAGTTATATAGCGACGACGATCGGGCGATCGATCGGAGCGGGAAAATAGTGGAAGCGCAAAAACATTATATGCATATTCAACAAACAAGAACGTACAGTGAAATAAAGAAGCAACGTTTGTATGTAAAAAACAAAAGTAAAAGTGTCTTATTCATTTATTTTATGGGTGATGGAATAAGTTCTAAAGTTCTGGGAGTTTCTTAATATATATACAAAATATTGCTGATGTCATTTGATCATATTTTAAATTAAAAAGATCATTAGAATTTACTTTTGGAGGAGCTGGAAACAGCTTCACAAGTTTTCGAGTTCGTTAAATTTTTAATTTGAAAAATGCGGGCCCTAGCCTAAAATAAACTTATCTGGCAACACTACTTCCAATGTACGAGGCAGCAGCGTTAAGCAATGTTGCCAGATTAACTTATTTCAGGCTAGATCTATAATAGTTTTCAACACTGGCTCTACACTCGACAAAAACAATTGCCTTCACAAATAGTTACTTTATGCTTAATGTTAAGAAATCTCTTTAAATCACGTTTTTTGCGCAAAATGTCCTGCTTCTCGCAAGTAATAAACCCCATAACGGGCGAGAATACATGGCAGGAGCGGGAAGATGACTACGATTATCACCAGGAGGTGGCCAACGCGGGATTTGGCGACATGCTGCACGACTGGGAGCGCAATCAAAAGTACTATGCGGCGCTGAAGAAGACCATCGCGGAAATGCGGTCCTCCGGCAGGGAAGTGCACGTCCTGGACATTGGCACCGGTACGGGGATACTCTCAATGATGGCCCTAAAAGCGGGGGCGGACACAGTAACCGCCTGCGAGGCCTTCCTGCCGATGGCCAACTGTGCGGCCAAGATTCTAGCGGCAAACGGCGCCGGCGACAAGGTGCGGCTCATCCGGAAGCGTTCCACAGAAATCCTCATAGGTGAGGATATGCCGCAAAAGGCTAATCTGCTCGTGGCTGAACTGCTGGACACTGAGTTGATCGGCGAGGGAGCCATCAGCATCTATAACCATGCCCACGACGAGTTGCTCACCGAGGATGCCCTTTGTATTCCTGCCCGCGCTCGTTGCTACGCCCAGGTGGCCCAAACCCCGCTGGCGGCACAGTGGAACAGCCTGAAGACGCTGCCCAACTTGGACGGGGAACCGCTGTTGCGTCCGCCGGAGCAGCTGAAGGCTTGCCAGGGCGAAGCAGCGCTACACGATGTTCAGCTGTCGCAGCTTCCGCCGTCCAGCTTCCGTCCGCTCACAGATCCTGTGGAGATCTTCCAGTTTGACTTTCAGCGAAAGACGCCGCGCGAGAAGCAGCGGGAGCAGCTGCTGCGGTTGCAATCCAAGCAGCCGGGAGCCGCTGAGGTTGTCTTCTACTGGTGGGACATTCACCTGGACAACGGCGGCGATATCCTGCTCAGCTGCGCTCCCTATTGGGCGCACCCGGATATCAAGGAGCTGGCCTCCAAGGGGAAGGATCTACCGCTGCCCAACGTGGTGCCTTGGCGGGATCATTGGATGCAGGCCATCTACTACATACCCAAACCGCTGCAGCTACTCGAGGCCGGCCAGGCCTTCCACCTGAGCTGCCACCATGACGAGTACTCGCTGTGGTTCGATGCGCGCGAGGAGAAGCCCGGCAAGACGGTGCGGCGGCACACGTGCTCCTGTGACCTGCACATGACCTACTCGCGCAGCCGGATCGGCCAGATGAATCAGTCACCGCGCAACAAGCGCTACCTGCGCTACCTTGAGGAGAGCCTGGAAGCGGGCCAGTCCCGTGTGCTGGTCCTTGGCAACGGTTGCCTGCTGGGCCTGGCGAGCTCTGCCCTGGGAGCGGCCTCTGTGCAGCTCCACGAGCCGCATCGCTTCTCGCGCCGCCTGCTAGAGTCCATCGTGCAGCACAACGATCTGAAGAACGTGCAGTTTGTGGACAAGCTGGAGGAACTGGAGGCGTCCCAGTTGGCCAGCCTCACGCACATCTTTGCGGAGCCGTACTTCATGAATGCCATCCTGCCGTGGGATAATTTCTACTTTGGCTCTCTGCTCTTGAAAATAAAGAATCAGCTGTCGGCCGGGGTAAGGATTTCGCCATGCTCGGCCAGGGTCTATGCCTTGCCAGTGGAGTTTCTGGATCTGCACAAGATTCGAGCGCTCATAGGCAGCTGCGAGGGCTTCGATCTGCGTATCTTCGACGAAATGGTAGAGGTGAGTCGAACTCAAGATGGGATTTGTGAGCGGGTCTTATCAGGTCTTATTATTATTTCTTTAAGAGATCCGCTGAGCAGGCATTGTCTCTTGTGGAGGCCCAACCCTTGTGGGAGTATCCCTGTCGGGCTCTGGCCCAACCCCAACAAGTGCTCAACGTGGACTTTAACAATTTTAGTGAAGAACATCACCTGGAAGGCAGCATAGAGTTGAAGCAGTAAGTTCTTAAATTGCTTATACATTTAAAAACCCCTTTAAATACTCTGTCTTTTATAGTACCGGTAGCTGCAATGGCGTGGCATTGTGGGTGGACTGGCAACTAACCGACGATAGTAGTCCCAAATCTATAGTGAGCACTGGCCCCAGTGAGCAAATCACGCCCGGCGAGTTTGTCCAGTGGGACATGTTTGTGCGCCAAGGTGTACACTTTCCCAGGCCTACAAAGGAGGCTATTAGCAGACTAGATTGGAGCACGGACTTCAGACCCCTTCTTGGCGAGCTAAACTTCAGTTTTAAACCCAAAAAGACGTAGGAATCTTGTTTACTCACAAAAATTTTGCACTAGTGATGAAAACGCAGAATGAAAGTCAGGGAATATATCAAATACAATTGATAAAAGGTAGTCTAGTCCTTGGGGATCTCGTTCTCCATGCGGGTCAGCGTGATGTTCCTGTCCGTCTGCGTGGGACTTGTCACCTTGGTGCCGAACTCGCCGCCCCTCAGGCGCATTCGCAGATCAAGGGCCCGAATGTCGGTCATCAACGAGTGCTGCTTGTTCTCCAGATCCATGTCGATGCGCTTGCCGTGCTCCTCCAGCAAATTGAAGTTGGCCTTGCTCTCATCGATCTTGGCCAGCAGTCGACGTCTGATTTCACGCAGCTTCTCTACTTCCAAGCAGAGCATATCGTGCGCCTGATCCATGCACAGTTCCATGCCAGAGCGCTGGGCACGGTTCTCCAAGCGCGTCTCGGCCAGCTTCAAGGCATCCGTCTTGTCGCGCAGCGCTTGCTCCGAGGTGCGAATCTCGCACACCGCCTTCTGCATCTCCTCCTTCATCTTCAGCTGCTGCCACTCCAGTTCATTTCTGGCCCGCTGCGTCTCGAAGATCCGCTTGCGTATGGTGTGCTCCGCCCGGTCCTGCTGAGACTGCAGCATGTTGCGAGCCTTCTCGCGGCAAACGAAGAGGGCCTCCCGGATAGCGTACGTATCGGCCAGCTCGTTCTCTGCCAGCAGTTTCATGTTCTTGACGTGCTCTAGCCAGGCTTCGTAGGAGCAGGAACTGGGCAGTGATGGCAGTAAGGAAAGGTCCTTGGAATTAGCTTCAAAATAACTTACTTCTTTGGGTTCCTGGTGGCATCCGGCTTATAGGAAATATTTGCAGAGTTGCGATCGAGGGCCAACTGCGACTTGTCCAGCTGCACGGCCTCCACTTTGTTCCCGACCTCCAGGCCAATCTTGAAGCGCACCTCCTCCAGCCGGCAGAGCTTCTCCCATGCCTTCTGGCAGCGATCCGCCAGCAGCCGCTGGTTATTCTCCAGAACGGCCAGCTCGTTCTTGATCTCTGTGTCGGCCTCGTCGTAGGTGATCTCCGAGCCAATGCGACCGTCGCGCATGGTGAGGCACTCGGCAATCACCGAAATAGGCCCCGCCAACGCCTCCAGCTCCCGTTCTGTGGCATTCTTCTCCTCCTGCAGCAAGTCGATCTCACGCACGATTCGTTCGAAAGCCTTTTCCAGGATATCCCGCCAGCGATTCAGCTCGGAAATGCTAAGTTCCGAATAATAATTTCAGTACGGACACTCCTAATGTCCTCTCTTGAAACTCACCGATCGGTCAGTGTCTCATTGGTCTCATAGTTGGCCCAATCTCCCTCAATCCTCGTCTCATTCCTGAGCGATCGGGATGAGTGACGGATGGCGAAGGCATCCGACCGCCGAGCATCGGCAATGTTACGCATCTGGTTGACTCTGGCATACCAGTCCGTCAGCGAGATGTGCTGCATCGGCTTCTCCATCGTGACCACCGAATGGAACGCCATGGTGGATCGCAAGTAAGTGAAACGTTACTAAAGAATTATCAACTAGTTTTACTTTTCCACTAATTTCAGAAAATATGTGTTCTCAACCCAGAGAACTCTCAGACTGACTGAGCCGAAGGGTGTGGTGTAACATCGATTCCCAGAGCTTGTTTGGTCAAGGAACACTAGATCTCCAAGGCGTCCGCCTTAATCATTGTCAGGGACGACGTCATGGGACTTGTTTCATTTTCGTTGGTAAGGAAATTGTCATGGTAACAGGAGGAACTTTGACTTTGAATGAAATTTTTGGGTTGTTCTTGGAATAATTGAATTCCTAATAGAGGTTTAAAGTTTTCTTAATCATCATAGCAAGATGAATTTTAAATGTTTTGACAAATATATATTGGATTTAATTATTTTCTTATATAGCTACCCTTCGTCGGACGCTTGTCGCACATTGAATATTACTATTTCAAAAATTAAATAGGCCGCCATCATTTCCGCTTTCGTTGCTATATTGACGCACACAGAACCGTTACAGCGGGTCTGTCTATCGCTATCGTTATCGATATACCCCGAAAATAAATGCAGCCCTAAATGAATTTGAAAAACAAAGATGATAGCTATATGGATATGGATTAATGCACTGCCAAGCGCATTCGAATTTAAATATAAGCCAAAAAGAACCCTTGTATATGTACTTGTGATAAGTCAAACTTTCGGAAAATATGCGTCAGTCGTTTAAAGCCTGGTTACCGCTTTGCGATATTCCAATTTTGCATGAATGACTCATGGCTTTGGCATTCGCTTTACCCCTCAAAAATCAGTGGGGATGCGGTTTTATATATAAGAATGTTTTTTATTTGCTCGAAATACGCATTTTGTGCTGATCCATGCTCACATGACTGAAACTGGCATTGCAGTGATAAGCAGACTCGTTGCATAGATAGGAATTCAGATGCTGCTGCTGGCAGAAAACAAACGCAACTTCGCAGATGCTGCGTAAATTGATGATGGGATCTGAGCTCTGAATGAACTGGGAAATGGCGGGGATTCTATACAGGAAAATCTATTATGTAAGCCTGTTTTTACTGCACCTAGCCACCAAGTACATACATACTATTTATGCCCTGCCGTATTAATGCGAGATTAGATTATTGACTAAATCCGGCCGGACCACGTTAGGTAAGATCTTGGGCTGGCTGAGGCCTGTCGCCTGCTGCCTGCCGCCTGCCGCCAATGCTGAAAAAAGAATTTAATTTGTCTAATCTAATATTATTTTATGACGTGCCACCCAGGGCTATATAATTTCGGGGGCTTATCACTTGCAGCAAGGGGTTCTCGGGGAACTGGGGACCGGCCGGAGGCGTCGGCTTATCAATCAAAACTCAAAGTCAGCGCACAGTTCGATGATTGGTCGATGCGATAGGGAAAAACTAACTGAAAAGCGGAATTCGGATTCCAGATTTCGGATACTGACTGACTGGTTTGTACTCGGAAGGGAAGTCATTGGGGAGCAAAGTTCGAGGTTCCCCTCGATGATAAAGAGCTACCGCAACCGGATAAATGCCAGACTGATAAAAGCATAATACCCACTCCAATTGCTTGGCATTCTTTATTTTAAAAGTACTCGCGGTTCATGAACCTTCTAATGAATTCAAGACAGCGCATGACTTTCGGTTTTGCCGCCGATTAGCTAATTACCACTATCTATCCACCTCTCTCCAGGTTTATCTAACGATCTGCTGTTGGTGCTACAATTTCATAATTTCTGGAAACAATTTCGAAAGGTGCTACAATTCCGTGTTCCCTGTTCTCCCAAAGACCTGCTGATGGGCCCAGAGACTTATTTCTGGGACAGACAATTCCCCAACTCGGTCTGTGAATGAGCCCCATTCACATTTCTCAGTTTATCTCCTCTGTGGAGTGGAAAAAGCCAAAGGCCCAAAAGGCCCACACACACACAGAGCGTCCGCAGCACGAGGGCAAACACTCACACACGAGTTATCCACCTCCGGGTTGTACGGGAACGCAGTGTGTGATATGTAGCGATATGTATATACACTGGCAAACAAAACCTAGGCACAGCAGTTTAAATTGCTTTCGAAAGTAGAGAATATTTGAATTGTTTGGGATTTGGAGAACTCTACTGCCAAGAAATAGATTTTATAGATATAAAAAACATATAAATATATCGTTAAACAACATAGTTTTTATACTTCATACAATATGCTAAACCCATAAAGTCTCCCCACCAAGATATTCAAGATCTGAGCTGTAATTCTATTAAAATCGAAAGGTGTAATATCAATTTATATTTTCAGTGCAAGTGTGGTTTCTTTTCCCTGGAAAAAGTCCCAAAAAATGAATAAAGGCCAAAGAGAGAACCAAAAGAAGCCGGCACAGAAACACTCCCAGGTCCCGAGACCGAATCCGAATCCGAAACAGAAACAGAAAAACGAAACATAAACGTAGAGTCAACACGAAGTGCTGGGAGTGCTGAGAGCATAGTGGCAACACTAGTTGCTGGCGCACATTGCGTATACGACGGATTGGTGCGTTCCATGGAGCCATTTTGAGAGCACTCTGGTTGCGCTCTCTCTCTCTCTCACCCTCTCTGGGACCGATCAGATCTCGGGGAATAGTTCGGATTAGATCAAGAACGAATCCCATTCAGAACGCGCCTTCTATCCAGCCAGCCATCAGGGAACACGCACACACACAGGCACACAAACACACCGTCCGCCAGGGAGAACACACAGATACACACGCTCACTATAGCAGGCAGGCTGTTGCTGCTGCTGCTGCTGCTGCTGTTGCTGCTTTCTGCTGCGCGGTTTATACTGCCAACACATTCTGATTTCCCTTAGTTATCTTTAGTCCGTCGCGTCGCTCGCATCGAGTTCATGAGGCGATCATCAGGCCTACGCAGCGGAAGCCGCCACTGAGTGTTATTTCGACAGAATATTCTGAATACAAGGCAGAGAAAAAGTAAAGCAAATAATACCCTACACCAAGCCTTAACACTTGAAAACCCGAATCCGTATCGAAGCAGCACAATTTTGAATGCTCCACAAAAGTATAAGTACATACATTTATGTTATGTAGTTAGTACATATGCTGCTCCTCCGTGCCTCCGTTTGCTCTCGGTTCCCAGTTCCCAGTTCCCACTTCTCGGTGTTCTGTGCTCAGTGCTCAGTGCTGTGCTGTTCGGTTCGGTTCGAATATATAAACATATGTATAATCAGATACTGATACATATAGCCTAGAAGTATTTTTAAGCGTGTTGTTTCCTACGCGTCGCCGCGTTGACTTTTAACTTTCGCTTTTACTGTGTCGGCGGCGTACGCGCGTTGTTCGATTTGCTTTCGCTTTCTCGAAAAAAAAGCACACAGAAATACAAATAAGTAAAAATAAAATCAAATTCTTTGCAGCGCGCCAAAAATAAGAGCAGAACTTTGACTCTAAAACAACACACACACAAACGACACTCGGACACATCTTTGGCTGCAACACAAGACACGCCGCATCGATACTTCTCTCGGAGGTAAACCAGGCAAACACCCTTTCTTTCCCTCTCTCTACCTTTCCCTATGTCTCTGTCTTACTGCCCCTCCTTCTCCTTAACTGGGCTCAAAACGGGTTTTGGCCAAAAACACACAGAGCCAGCGACATGCGGCAAAAGTGCGCGCGCGTTCCAGGTTCTCCTTCACTTGGCCAAGAAGGGTTAGAGCCCCGGCATCGATACCAGGAAAAAGTTCGGAAAAAGGCGGCTTTTGCAGCGCCATTTCAGCCCTCTTTGTTGCTGCTTTGTTGTTGTTTTCCCCCCACTGTACTCGGGTTTTCCTCCCTGAACTTGAACAAAGAACAAAAGCAGCTTACGTTTAGATCGATACCAACTAAGTCTTCAGGGGAAATGAACCAATATCTTGGGTTATCACAGGAACATGTCTAATTCTATACCTTGAGATGTAAATAGTTTAACTTTGATAACTAAGCTTTCGTTTTGAATTTGAATTCAGCTTCTAATGAGTTTATTTCATGTCAAAAACCTATATTTAAAAGTTGATAATTCAATTTCTTTAGTGGATTAACCAGTTAGTCAGAACCCCTCCGAGAGTACCTATGGACATACAGTGGCACCTGCTGCCTGGCTATGCAAATGCAGAATAGATTTTAGCTCAGCTTTGCCATCATTATCCACATATTAATTATGGCTCTATCTCCACCGATATGACACGCCTTTGGTGAGTGAGTCAGCGATCGATTTTTTGGCCAAAACCCAAGGCTTCTCCTCCGCCGCTCTTCTGGGGCTTTTGCGCGTGGCTTTTGTTGCGATTTATCTTACAACCGGTTGCTGCTTGCCGGCAAAAAGCAAACAAAACAAATCGAGAGCCGAGAATAATGTGATAATGGTAGATCCCACAGCTGTCGACGAAATCAAGAAATCAAATCAGAGAAACCGAAAAGTTCAAGTCGCTCAGCCACATCCACATCCACATCCATAGCTATAACCATAGCCATAGCCACAGCCACATCCACATCCATATTCATGTCAATGGGCCGTGACGCGGGTTGGAAGCATTAGAACTGCAAGATGCCAATGACCCAATTTCCCCCCTCTCACACTCCCCACGACTCCACCCCGCCGGCGAGCTAATTGCCCGGCTCTATAATTAATCATCAATCCGACTCCGAATTCGATTCAGAGTCTGATTTTTATTCTGAGCCAGAAGCAAGTAATTTTTCGATATTTTTCGGTTAATTAGGAGTTTAGTGCACGGAGAACAATTATATAAAATAGTAGTAGTGGTAGTCAATAAATCATTTAAATCTATACAATTTTAATAGATATATTAACAATATCTTTAGGATACTTTGGCAATGCAATGACTTCCCAGAAAAGTACCTAGTTTCTTGGATTTATTTTCTCTCTGTGTAAAATATAAATTAGAAATCTTAAAACATGTTTTTTGCATTAACAATGGATACCATAGCCCCAGACTCATTGCCAAATAAGAGGCGATGGAGTTTTCCCATTCAGCATTCAACATTCTGGTCGAAGCCGCCTGGGTTTCTTCTGGGGCATGCTCGAGTGCGCTTGCGTGAGGACTCGGTTAGGTATTCTTTTTTTCGGTATTTGCTATTGGAAAACCCAAACAACACCGAGAGTCTGTGGAAATTTTTCAACATCAAGCCACACAACACGAACGGGCGAACGAACGAACGATCGGTGATCGATAATCGCTGTGTAAATATTTACGCCAGATTAAGCCAATTTTAGAGTGCAGCTTACTGCAGTTTGTTTGTTTCCTTGATTTGCTTATCAGATCAGTCCGGAAAGCAGCCGTTTTTGGCGCCAATGTCGGGGTCGAATTGAGAACAAATCGCCGCTTAGCTTAGTTGGAAACTGGAATCCGGGGGTGCTGGAGGGAGTCATGAGATAATGTCATCTGTCGACGTCATGGAGGAGGAGGAGGAGGAGGAGCCTCCTCCTCCGCCTCCTTCTCCTGCTGACATACAGCCACGTGCAGATAACCCAATAAACGAACGACAAACACACGGAATCACGACTCTCGATTTCCATTTGCTCGATTCGATTTGAGAATAATAATTGCGCGACTTGCACTTATTTTCCATGATTTGAACATGTTAATTGATTACGAATACCATGCTCTACTTCCGCCTAAAGAGAGCAGAGGAGCAGAGACCCCGGCGACCATTGATCGCTCCACTAATTGTCGCGCCGGCGGAGGCCTTTGTTCATGCCGATAGTGGTGGTCAGCACACCAGAGGATGGATCTAGGCAGCGGCATCCCGCATGAGATGATAGCTAACTGTGTCAACGCCCCAAAAAGATACACAACACACTTCCCGCCCAGCAATGCTCCTCCTTGGCTTACTCCCCGAGTGAAGCTGCTCTCCGCCGCTGGGTGAAAGGCCGAGCGATGAACTTGACGTGACAGCAGCTGCTGCTGCTTCTGCTTTTGCCCCAAAGTGTTTGCCATCTCATTCCGGAATGGGGCCAACTTGAAGTGGTGATACGAGTGCCCGGCGGATACATGGAGTTGCTCTATTTTTGGGGGAATATCTGAAGAGATCTGTTTCAGAGATGTTCCTAGGGTAAACATGGCAGAAGATGCTGTTCCTCAACATGTTCGTAGCTGCATTTATCTGTGAAGGAATCATTTCCGACCCTATAAACCATATATATTCTTGATCAGCGTCAACAGGCGAATCTTTCTAGCCATAAAGGAAAGAAAATAAATAAATAATAATGCCTTCCGAATTGAAATTATTGCTTTTTTGGCTTAGTTATGCCAAAGAAAGAATTGATTTGTCAACAAAAATTGTCATAGAAAAAGAATGGTAATACTTTAAGCTTAGTAATATCTTTGCTTTGGATAGTGCTCTTGGCAAGCCTTTCCCCCTGTTTTGATGTAGGGCATTGGCAAGTCAGCTTTTCCTCTCCATTTTCCTCTGCCAGAGACCGGAGTGTTCGCAGCCTTCTTGGGCGCTCGCTCCATTTTCGGCTACCGGCTTAGCTAATTAATATTTTGAGCGTAGAGTCGCTTAACGATTGCTTCACTTGTACCTACAAATTGCGGCGCTGAGATACGAGGAGGCTTGGAACCTGTCCACCGGCGGAACCAGACTATCTAAATGGGTCCGCACGCACGATGTGCCGGAATGGTGCGAGGAGGAGGAGGGGCAGGACGCCTACAGTTGCATGTTATAAATAACAGAGCCATGTACTACATGTGACATGTGTGTGCAGTACGCACACACACGCCGCAGCAGGGGGAGAGCGAGACGGTCGAAGATAAAGATACAAACGCATATACTGCCAGATACAGATACAGGAAAACCGGCGGCAAGGAAAACATCTTAAGAACTCGCCGTCCGCGTCTGCGTCTGCGTCTGACTTAGCGTCTGGAGGGTATCCGTGGCCCCTCCTGATCCCGCCTCTGCTTCTGACCATATGTGTTTACCTATAACATTTATTAATTCAATCGACGGGCATCAATTTAAGCGCTGTCAACAGTCACAATTGGCGCTGACAACTGTTTGCCGCGACCTCCGCCCCCTTCGGGAAACCAGAAAAAACAAAACTGGAATGATGGATGGGGAATGTTTGCTCGCCCAGGGATTAGCTTACAGAAAGTGGGCGGGGGGGGAGAGTGGAGACTAGGAGCGAGGTCTTGGAGGCCACAGGAGCCGGCTTGTCACATTATCCGCCGTTTTGTGGGGCCAAACCCAAGGGAGAGCAAACAAACGGGGCGAGCATGAAGGCACGATTTCCCCAAGCTCCACCAAGGGATACTCTTACATGATATCAAGCCAGATATTACCAACAAGTTGTTAATATAATAGAAAGTATTTTAAAAGGTTTATATAGCTTATTCTTCTATATATATATTCTCTACAAAACTCCTTTCCAGTTCCATAGTTCTATATATATACATTTTGTTTAGACCTCTAACAAACCCCCTAAGATAGTGCCTATACCCATGTTGTATTCACAGCAATCAAGACTCAAACTGGGTGCGTCCTTTAGGCCAATTTGTAGAGCCAAGATGTCTTCGCTTTCGATATATATTGTGGCCACAATATGGGATCGGGGCAACAAGTAAATGCTTATGTCTATTTATACATGGGCTGTTCTCGCTGTGGCAAGTCAGTTACGCGGAGGCACTTCGAGGGCTTCCTTCGATGGGTTCTCGGTTCTTGGTTCTCCCTTTCTGGGCTCTAAGTTCTGGGTTCTGGACTGCGTGGTCATTTGTGCATGAAAATGAAAACAAAATCTGAAATACGAACGCGAATCGAGTGGTTCTGGGTGTGCTAAAAGGCAGGTATTATGTTATTGGCTCGAGGATGGGATGGTGTCGCAACACTTTCGATGGCACAATAAACAAATACCCGGCCATAGCCTTAGCCCCGGCTAGACCCTTGTGTTATCGCCACGCTTGGTCTTTATGGGTTCCCATAAATTCGCATGGTCAATGATATTGCCGAAATTCGGTCGTAAAGGAAGTGAAATTATCAAAGCTGGGGCCCAGTTCAGTTCAGTCGGTCACGTGGTGGTGGTGGTGGAGATGTTAGGGCCGAGTCCGTTGCCGGGCAGAGGGTTGCCCCGTATCGGCGGGTATCAGGTGTGTTTTACTATATCCCTGTTAAGCCGTTGCTGGGGCCATGATAAGCCCTCAAATCTGGCGGAATAATCAATTAATTTATGGAATGCATACTACTGGCGGGACAGTAGTCCGCCGATTAGCGTTAGGTTTATCTCTGATGCAATCTCGGCTAGAATAAATCCCTGCAATTCTCCAGCGCTCCCGATAAGCAAGCTGTTTGACTAAGCTTGTTTGTCGAGATCTTTGGGGAATATATCACGGGGGTGCTTGGTTACAAAAGATCGCATCGCATTGCCTCAGATTCCATCTTATCCGAGCTCCCAGTTAGCGGGTCCATGTAAGCATCTGCTTTATAGCCTGCGGCGGATCTGATTAGATAAAGGCAACGAAAAACGAATAGCGATTGCCAAGGCCAAGAGTTTGTTAGCCGCCGCAAGATGTGGACAAACAAGAAAAGCAATCAAAAAAGAGGCAAAAATCCACAGCACAATATGTACTCGTGGAGCAGGCACCTCATGTGCCCGGCATATGGAATCCACAGAGGCCCCTCCTGCGTCTCCATCTCCTCCTCACCGCTTTGGAATACATAATTGCGAATTCTTCTTTGGCCAAGACAATCGATCTGCTGACGCACTCCTGGCCCTGGCATTGGCCATCGTTCTTGACGTTTGACAATCCGCTTCCACCCACTGAACGGCACCACCACCTGTCTCCCATCAGCACCCCCCTGACTGCCATCTGCCGATTGACGTCGATGTGATAAACAGCGAAAAGCCTTTCACACCACGCACCTTTTTGCAGATATCTGACAGATACATATGTATATATAGTGGCGTCGCATCCAATAGTACCCGAAATATTTGGGAAAAATAATAATAAATGCAGATTGCTGGCAAAGCCAGCTCTTGCTTGAGATAGTAAAAGACTTCAAAGGGGGTTTTAACAAAAGTGTTTAGAGACTCTGCTAAAATCCCTTCTTTTTCTTACCAAATAGGCATTTTGTAATTATATTTTCCACCCGGACTGTAGCAACCGAGTACACCAGTACAGGTGGAGCTCCTCCGGTTCAATTGTGCGGCTATCGCTTGGGGCACGTGACATTTATAAATAGATTTATCCATGCAAAGTGGTAAAAAAACAATACATAAACAAGAGGGAACCATGGGGGCGTATGCGCAATGCGAAGGCCACTCTCGCTTTTCGGGGTAAACAGTTGCGTAACTTAACCACCAGCGGATCACTCTCTCCTAGGTTCCCCCACCCATACTCATCCGATTCCGTCTTCTCGCGATCTTTCCAGGAAATGGCCACACAGCAGACCAAGTCCCAGGACGAACTGGCAGCCAGTGCGCTGGTATCCAAGCAGCCGGACAACATCAAGGAGGAGAATGAGGAGGAGGGCGAGGAGATCGACGAGGCGGCCGTGGTGGTGCCCCCGGACAGCGGCTGGGCCTGGGTAGTGATGGTGGCCTCCTTCCTCTGCTGCACGGTGATCGATGGCATTGTCTTCTGCTCGCCGCTCATCCAGGAGCAGCTGATGGCCGAGTTCAACGTGAGTAAGGGCTACGTGGCGTTCGTTTCGTCGCTCCTAAGTGGCTGCTACCTCATGGCCGGTCCCTTCGTGAGTGCCATGGCGAATCGCTTCGGCTTCCGGCCGGTGACCATGGCGGGAGCCGTGTTCGCGGCCATCTGCTTCGGGCTCTCGTACTTTGCCACCAGCGTGGAGTACCTGTTCCTTATCTACGGCATCCTGGGCGGCATTGGCTTCTGCATGGTCTACATCCCGGCGGTGGTGATCATCGGATTCTACTTTGAAAAGTGGCGTGCCCTGGCCACCGGCGTAGCCATGTGCGGCTCCGGTGTGGGAACCTTTGTCTTCGCCCCGCTGACCGAGGTCCTGCTAAAGATGGGTTGGCGCGAAACCCTGGCCATCCAGGGAGCCATCGTCCTGTCCTGCGCCGTCTTTGGCCTCGCCTTCCGTCCCATCCAGCCCATCACGCTGTCGGTGACCAATGAGGCTGGCGCTGACGAACAGGAGAAGAGCAAGCTAAACGGGCACGGCAACACCGTGGCCCCCACGCCGCAGCTCCACCAGGCGGCCTTCACCAAGCCCCTGCCCGAGGGACGCTTCGCCTACTCGATGCCCAACTCCGCCCACAACACGTACATGGGTGCTTCGCAGCGCCACCATTATCCCACCGCCCAGGAGATCTTCAAGGGAATGAACTTGGAGCGTCGGCCCTCGGGTACCGCGGCACAGAGCAACAAGGGAACGGAGCTGAAGCAGCTGAGGAAGTCGCAGCCCACGACGCCAAACGGGGATCCCCAGCAGCTGACCTTCAACCTGCACAAGGAGCTGACCACAGTCGGCGAGAATGAGGAGGAGGCGGAGAACGATAACCTGTTGGAGACGGAGGCCAAGCCGGTGACCATTCAGGCACGCAGACACACAGTGTCCGGCCGCCGACCCCAGGACATTGGCAAGCGATCGGCGGCCGCCGCCCATGAGGCGCACCATGGCCAGGCGTCATCCTCGAGGCCCATGTACCGTGACGATATCTTCTTCACCGGATCACTGACCAGGATTCCCCAGTACCAGTCGCAGACCTCGCTCGCCTACCACATGTCCGTGACCCGGCTGCCCACCAAGCAGGACATGCTGGAGGACCGCCAGAAGGGCTGCCGCATCTGCCCAGAGGCAGTGCGTCGCACCCTGTCCACTATGCTGGACACCGAGCTGCTTAAGTCACCCGCCTTCATGTGCCTGGCCTTCAGCGGCTTCCTGACCATGATGGGTTTCTTTGTGCCCTTCTGCTTCCTGGTGGAACGCGCTGTGGCCGCCGGCATGGACAAGCCATCGGCCCTCTCGGTGCTCGGTGGCATTGGACTGGTGAACACATTCGCTAGGATTGTGTGCGGCTCGATTAGCTCGTTCCCCAGCGTCAAGCCGCTCTGGCTGAACAACTTCGCCCTGACCGCCGGAGGCATCGCTACCATCTTCAGCGGCGTCGTCATCAACTCTGCCTCCCAATGGACCTTTGCCCTGTTCTTCGGCATCTGCATTGCCTGCTTCTCGGCGCTGCGTTCGCTGATCGCCGTGGAGCTGATCGGTCTGGAGAAGCTAACGAATGCCTACGGATTCCTGATGCTCTTCCAGGGCCTGGCAGCCACGGTGGGCACGCCCATAGCAGGTGCGTAATCATTATCCCTGAGATCTTTCAAGAAATACTAACTGATCATTGGACCTCTTGCAGGAAGCCTTTACGAGATGACCAAGAGCTACGACATGGCCTTCTACTTTGCCGGCGGCCTCATCCTGCTGTCGGCCTTCCTCTGCTATCCCCTGACCTGCGTGAGCCGGTGGGAGCAGCGTCGGAACGAGAAGAACACCCCCCTGCCGGCCGCCTAGGAAGCCAAGCCTAGCCTAGCCTAGCGGAGAAAGAATACATCTGCCAGACAGCCTGAACATCTTGTCAAGGCAGCCACACAACTATCTCCGAGGGCTTCGGAGACACACCCTTCGGTGTGTCCTTGGCCCTGCGGAGCGCGGAAAGCGCGAAAGCCTGTTCCGGAGTACTTGATACGTTAAGATTAGACGTAAGCGAAATGTTGTGCCTTCGGATGGAGAGTGTACATTAATGTTTCTATAAGCTTTAAGAGGAGGACGAGACGAGAGGGGAGCAGCTAGGCTTAGGTTAACCGAACACATTATTAATACTATTACTATGTAGCCCGTAAGCAGCTCCTGTGCACATGGCTATGGCTGGGCCACAAGTCGACTGCCAAGTTAAGAATCGTTTTGTTGAGTTATTTAACATGAGGTACAAGAGGTATGAGGAGAAACGAGAACGAGAGCGAGAGCGAGACCGGTGCATTTGTTTACCTTTGTAAGACACACCACTTCGACTTCGTTACATAGTTTAGATAGATATATCACAATCGATCGGGTCAGTGCACTCGCCGGCGTAAAGCAAATAAACAATCAGCCAGACGATGGAGGCATCTATCTGGTATTTATATATACATATATATATTGTACGATACAACAGAGAACACAGAGTACATAATACACACACGGACCGCCACATACTCAGCATGCGCGTTTATCAACAATATAATAATTACATTACAAGCAGAGAATGATTTGTTTTACATTTAAAATTGATGACGTGACTTCATCCAACAATAAAGACGATTTCCGATTAATACAAACTAAACGATCGCTATCGGTTTATTACTTTCGCAGCACAAAGTAAGCTTAACTATGTGGGGATTGGGCGGTGACTATGAAACAAACATTTGAAATGTGTGTTTTAAGAAGATCCTGTTAAGTAACGCCCCACGATGATGTGTCTTTGGTCATGGCACACTCCACTCACTACTTTTCCTGATTCAGTGAATTGATGAACTCCTCCAGCTTCTCCTGGATCATCCGTACTTTGACTTAGAGAAGCAGCACTTGGTGCGTTAGTAAACTAATTCAATTATCAATTGTAAAACAAACTACTCACTCAGTTCTTCCGCCAGCAGCACTCGCTTTCCGGTGAGCAGGTGCGCCTTTTTCTCTTCGTCGTCGCTGAACTCGTCCAGCACCGCCTTTATCTCCTTGTCCAGCCGCCGGGCCTCCCGATTTATTACCTGCTGTCTTAAGGCATTGCCCGTTATCTTTATCACCTGCTGGATGCGCCAGAAGAGCACGACGTCGCTGCAGGAGATCTGCATCACATAAAATAGAGAGCTCCAGTTGGGATATCCTTTCTACCTTAGACCACTCACCTCGCACTCAGCTCCTTGTTGCGTGTACAGGTAATAGGCCTTGCGACAATCCTTTGCCCTCTGCAACGCCTGCTGCAGGAAGTGTCTACAAAATAGAAAAAGGCTGTGAAAACAACTCCACTCAGCGACAATCACTCACTTTCTGTAGACTGGGAACCACGTTTGCCTTATATAGTCCGTGTCCACGTCCACGTTATCACGCTGGAGGTTCTTGCGCACCGTCGTCAGCTCATCGTAGCTCAGAGTGGGCAAATGTTTCTGCAATCATAATTGAAGAAATGTTATCACCCAAGGAACAAGCAATTACTATTGAGAACTACTCGTCGCAACACAATTGTCAATTAGGATTAACACGAAGAAAGTAATTATCTCAATCACTTGATTTAATTGATTTAATCATTAAAATATAAACTTAATTGTATTTATATTTGGAATTAATAATAATCAAGCTGGTTTAATAGAATTTATAAAAAGTACTTATTTTATTTATATTGATGCCGATTGTAAAGATCGGAACTCTACCCAAAAATCTGTACAAACTAGAGGAATTCTATACATACAAAAATTAAAAAAAAAAACTTCAATATTTTTATACTCTTGCATTTCCGACCCCATAAACCATATATATTCTTGATCACCATCAACAGGCGAATCTTTCTAGCCATAAAAGAGAGAAAATAAATTTTTGCCAATTTTTTCATAATTTTATAAGGGGTTACATAGTTAAAATTGTCAAAAATTGGCCAAAATTTACATTTTAAATTGAGTATGCAGAATTATAACCCTAATAAAAACTAACACAGGGCTGCTTTCCGAATTGAAATTAGACCATTTTTGGCTTAGTTATGATCTATTTTCCAATCGGCCAGTTGTCCAATTCCAAATTGCAAGATGTCCATTCAGGTTAGAGAACCGTAAGTGAAGATTAAGCTCAACCTGAAAAAGAATTTCAAACTCACCGAGTCCGTTTTGAGTATTTTGTCCAGTTCCCCCTTGACACACCGCCGCTTCTGTTGATCCTGGGTGAGGTACTGCCAATGGGTGAGGCGTCGCATCTGACCGGGGCCAAACATCTGCCCCAGCGTCTCTTCCGTCTGCACGAGCTTGGCATTCACGGACGTCTCCAGGAACTTGACAGCCGAGTCCCACTCGGACTTGGTGTGCACGAACCGATCCTCCAGCGTGTTCAGTTGGATGACGCGCAGCATATCGATGGCCTTGTCCTCCCAGCTGTGCCGCCGTATGGCCTCGTCCACCACCGCACCCTTGAGCTGATCGAAGATGCCGTCGTGGTCCTGGGACTTCTTGGAGCGCTCCATCAGCGAGATGAATTCCAGTTGCAGGGCCTCCCAGCCGGCCTCCACGGACTTCGCGGGCAGAGCCTGCTCGGCCCACTGCCGCAGCTTGATGTCCACCATGGTGTTGAAGGAGTCTACAATGAAAGAAAACGCATTCCAGCCGTTAGTTTAGCCGAATTGGCACACGGAACCACAGGTTTATGAGTGTGTGTTTGGGTAATGATGATGGTAAACAAAGCCACAAAACAGTCGCGATAATAGCAGCAATTTGATTCAATTAGCCTTTGATTTTAGCCCGAATTCATTGATCAAATTAACGGATCTGTCATAAAATGGTAAGTAAACAGGAGACCAAACGTGTTTCGGCACAATTCTGGTTTCGTTTCGTTACGTTACACAGGTGAGGGCGCTCGTAAATCTCAACACTTTCCGGCAGCAGTCCCCACATGACTCCAGACGGCTTAGTCACTTCTTAAACGCTGTTAATGGCGCCGAAATCGGAGTACACAGTAAATATACATGCATGATTCAAGCAAAGAGTTGGGGCCGTTTCGGATTCCCAGGAGGAGGCTTTCAAACCGGTTCAGGGCATGTGATTCCCTCGTTTCCATGTTAAATGCTAAGTTAAACAACGGGCACACGTGAGGCTTTGTGCTTTCCGTTCCTCTTCAACCAAGAACAACAATAACACACACACACTGGACGAAGCACAAGGCGGCGGGTGATGAACGTGGACGTGCCTCCAACGATGACGTTAAAACCTACAACTTAGCACTACAAAATATTACTTTGAGAACCTGACTGAGCGGCGGGCAGGTAGATGTTCTCGAACACATAGTTGGACAGCTTCTCCCAGAGCTTGGCGTTGAGAGCGTCGTCCCACTTCTTGGCCGAGATCTGCGACAGCGTCACCACCTCGTCCAGTATCTCGCCCTTGGCCTTGTCGAACAGTTCGTCGCGTCCGGACTCGCGCAGCCTGCAGAGAGAAGGAGAATCACTTGCTAAAAAGAGTGCTAATCATTTCACTTTCTTTGTTCTCACCTAGGGAAGTTGTTCTTCCATTCGGTCTCCAGGTTGAATCTGGTGGCCTTAAATGCATCAGCCTGCTGCTCAATGGTCTCGCGCACCATCTTCCAGAAACGATCGGAAACGGCCAGGCTGAGATTCCGGCTGGTCACCTGATGGGGCATGATTACGCCGCGTCGACTATGCGGGGCGGAAGGTTAGTTTAATTGATTCGACCGCCTTCTTCCCCGTTACTCACTGGAACAGCTTCGAGTTCTTAAAAAAGTCCTCCTCGTACTGCCTGATGGCGTCTATGCTGTCGTCCTTTCGACCGCGTCCTGTTACCACAGCATAGTAGCCTAGAGCCTTCATGGGGAAGAGCTTGCCGGACAGAATCTTCCTTATCCTATCCGGGTCGGCCAGCTCCTCGGCCAGATCCACCTTCGTAAGCACGAAAATGGTTCGCCGACCCAGAGGATCGCACTGCATGACCAGATCCGTGACATTGCTGCGCTCCGCGTCAACGGAGCCGTCTTGGATGCACAGAATGATGGCGTTGGGGTTGCTCATGTAATGCTTTGTCATCTGGTGAATTGAATCCTTGGTATCCGAGGCCATGTCCACTGTCATAGTCTGCAAAAGGGGTACTTTAGCCTAAAGAATATAGATTCCTCGAGAAATACATACTGAGATAATGCCGGGAAGATCGACTAGAACCATGCGCTGCAGGCCGGGACCTTTGACCGTCATGGAAATGACTTCGTTGCTCACGGTCTTGCCACCGCGAACGGAGGCACGCATGCGGAACTCCACCTCCTTCCGCAGATCGGCCAGATCCGACTCCTTGGTGAGGTCGTACTCCCTGTCCGAGTCCCTGAACTGCGCCACATGATAGGGTCCCTCCGCCAGGGTGACCTTGACGGGAGCCCGGGTCATCATCTCGCCACTGCCGCGGGGAAAGATGCGCGCCTTGGCAATGGACTCTAGGACCGATGTCTTACCACTGCTCTGATCTCCCACGACGACGACGCGCGGCAGATGATCGGCCATGGTGTAGCCCGTATCGTAGCCCGAGAGCTCGTCCAGCACCTCGGAGTACATGTCGATCAGGGACTTTTTGATCTTCTTGGCCGAAGTCTTCTTGTTCGTCTTGAGGATGAGGAACTGCTGGCGCAAATCGCGATTCTCCTTTTCCATTTTCTCCAGTTCCTTTTGGTATTTGATCTGCACATTCATGATCTCCGTCTGCAGCGTCTCTACCTGGCTCTGGAGTTTCTCTGTGGAGAAGTTGATGAGGTTGGGTTAAAAGGGTTTCCCAGCTAAAGGAGAGCTCATTACTCACCATACTTTTTGCGACTCTCATCGGTGGTGATGCCCAAAGCGGCCACAGAGGTCTTGGCCTTCAGGTCCTCCTTGGCTGCAACAGAGTGGAGAGTTTGGGGAGGGAAATATAAGTCTCGATTACGATGGGCAGGGTTCTCTCACTTTAAATTTGTTTGGGGGGCTGGGAGGGCAACCTACTTTCGACAATCTGAACTCCTTGATAGTCGGCGGCCTCGATGGCATCGTCCAGGCGATTGTCGAACCAGTTGCGCCATTCCGACAACTTATCCTCGCCCAGCTGCTTGAGCTTCGGATCTAGAACACAAGCAAATGCCGTGATTCAGTGATGCAGTGGGAGATTCAGAAAACGAAAACGATGCCATTTTGGCCAGGATTAATAACGGAAGAACTAAGCAACTAAATGGCCATTTAAAGTGAGAGAAGGTAAGGGAGAGCAACGGAGAAACTCTCCGGTAGAACTCCGAGATTAGGAGCTGCTTACACTCACCTATATCGATGGCATTTTTTACCAGGCCTCCCACCTCCATTAGATTGCGGGAGAAGGCGTTCCACCGCTCGCCCTGTGGCATGGCATCCTCCAGCCATTTCATGTCCGGCAGGCCGTCCTTCCAGTCCTCGTATTTCTATCCAAAAACAAGTAATACAAACTCTACATTTTTGCAACAATTATATAACACCGCAAACACTCACTTTGCTTAGGGAAACGCCCCCTCCAATGGCGCCGCCCAGGACGAGGTAGCGCAGCTTTAGTGCTCCTCGCAGGATGCGCACCACCAGCATGCCGTAGCCGCGCGAGGGCGGCGGCATTTGCCAGCCCCGCGCCGAATTGCCGGCAAGCAGGAACTCCTCGTGGTGAGGGCCATTCCTCTGCTGCTGCCGCTGCTCGTGGGGCGGCCCTCTTCGAGCATGGCTGGTGATGCCGCAAAGCGTGGAATGATTGCAGCAGGCAACCTTGGTGGTGGCGTAGACAACAGCTTTCCTCGCGGTGCGCCTGCAAGGGAAAACACACCGATGAGGCAACGATGACGAAATCGACCGAGAGAGACAGAGGCGAACCTCTGCCCCTCGCTGACGCTCAATATGCACCTACTTACCGGGATGTATTTTGATAGATGCGCAACATAATCTAGCTGGTTGGGGCTATGACACTTTTCTCGCGGTTTGCTTTGTTTATTTACGAGAATTAATCAATTTTTCTTCTGCCGCAAAAACTCATTTTTTTCCGCTGACCGGGGCTGTGTGACCAAATCTTTCCAACACTAAAAAGCGGTCACGCTGTGCACAAAACAGCTGACTTTTCCTATAAAACTAAAAAGGTTCGTGTCCACACTGTTCTTATTGGTACGCGGAGCTGCCATTTAATATTTTCCGGCACTGCGGCAGCCATGCCGAAAATTAATATAAACTCAAAATAGTTCCGTTAGGAGCGCACTTTCACTTCACAACAATACAAAATGTCTTCTCTACTTCCTTTCTTGAACAAAGAAAGTTTTTCATCAATTCAATTAAGAAAAGACACTGAATTCAAGGCATAAAGGAAACAATCTTAATTTTTGGCGATTTTTTCAATATTTTATATCGTTAAAATTGTCAAAAAGTTAAATTTTAAATTGAGTATGCAGTTTAATTGCCCAAATAAAAACTAACATAGAGCTGCTTTCCGATTTAAAATTAATGCTTTTTTAGCCTACCTATGAGTTTTTTAAACTTGGACTTCTTGAACAAATTGTCATATAAAAAAATACATTATATCGACTAAAAAATGGTATTAAGGCTTTAGTCAGAAGCTTGTAAATATGTGAAGGAGTCATTTCCGACCATATAAATCATATATATTCTTGATCAGCATCAACAGGCGAATCTTTCTAGCCATAAAGGAGAGAAAATAAATTTTTGCCAATTTTTCAATATTTTATAAGGGGTTACATCGTTAAAATTGGCAAAAATTGTGATTTTTTTACATTTTAAACTGAGTATGCAGATTTATTACCCTACTAAAAACTAGCACAGGGCAGCTTTCCGATTTAAAATTAATGCTTTTTTGGCCTAGCTATGAGTTTTTTAAAATTTGAATTTGTGGAACAAATTGTCATATAAAAAAATAAATAATATCGACTAAAAATTGGTATTTAGGCTTTAGTCAGAAGCTTGTAAATATGTGAAGGAGTCATTTCCGACCATATAAATCATATATATTCTTGATCAGCATCAACAGGCGAATCTTTCTAGCCATAAAGGAGAGAAAATAAATTTTTGCCAATTTTTTCAATATTTTATAAGGGGTTACATCGTTAAAATTGGCAAAAATTGTGATTTTTTTACATTTTAAACTGAGTATGCAGAATTTTTACCCTACTAAAAACTAGCACAGGGCTGCTTTCCGATTTAAAATTAATGCTTTTTTGGCCTAGCTATGAGTTTTTTAAAATTTGAATTTGTGGAACAAATTGTCATATAAAAAAATTAATAATATCGACTAAAAATTGGTATTTAGGCTTTAGTCAGAAGCTTGTAAATATGTGAAGGAGTCATTTCCGACCATATAAATCATATATATTCTTGATCAGCATCAACAGGCGAATCTTTCTAGTCATAAAGGAGAGAAAATAAATTTTTGCCAATTTTTTCAATATTTTATAAGGGGTTACATCGTTAAAATTGGCAAAAATTGTGATTTTTTTTACATTTTAAATTGAGTATGCAGATTTATTACCCTACTAAAAACTAGCACGGGGCTGCTTTCCGATTTAAAATTAATGCTTTTTTGGCCTAGCTATGAGTTTTTTAAAATTTGAATTTGTGGAACAAATTGTCATATAAAAAAATTAATAATATCGACTAAAAATTGGTATTTAGGCTTTAGTCAGAAGCTTGTAAATATGTGAAGGAGTCATTTCCGACCCTAGAAATCATATATATTCTTGATCAGCATCAACAGGCGAATCTTTCTAGTCATAAAGGAGAGAAAATAAATTTTTGCCAATTTTTTCAATATTTTATAAGGGGTTACATCGTTAAAATTGGCAAAAATTGTGATTTTTTTACATTTTAAACTGAGTATGCAGAATTTTTACCCTACTAAAAACTAGCACAGGGCTGCTTTCCGATTTAAAATTAATGCTTTTTTGGCCTAGCTATGAGTTTTTTAAAATTTGAATTTGTGGAACAAAATGTCATATAAAAAAATTAATAATATCGACTAAAAATTGGTATTTAGGCTTTAGTCAGAAGCTTGTAAATATGTGAAGGAGTCATTTCCGACGCTATAAATCATATATATTCTTGATCAGCATCAACAGGCGAATCTTTCTAGCCATAAAGGAGAGAAAATAAATTTTTGCCAATTTTTTCAATATTTTATAAGGGGTTACATCGTTAAAATTGGCAAAAATGTTGATTTTTTTACATTTTAAACTGAGTAAGCAGATTTATTACCCTACTAAAAATTAGCACAGGGCTGCTTTCCGATTTAAAATTAATGCTTTTTTGGCTTAGTTATAAATGTGTTAAGAAATGATTTTTATATAAAATGTTCCTATAAAAATATATTTAAGCTTCGACCCTAAGAATGCGAATATTTTAAGCTTAGGATTCATTTGCAAACTGCAAGGGTATAAAAAACCATCCTCTAAATAGTGCGGTTCTTTGTAGTCACAGCTATCTGTACAGTGTACATAGAACCGGAATGCTATTTGTAGATCGATTAATATATACATATGTAGGTGATTTTGAGCGGCAATGAACCGCTTAGTGCCTAATAGCTAAATTTTGATAAAATGAACTCCGATTTCAACTACTCTTTATGAAAATTGCGGAGCAGTCGCTTGCCAGAATGAAGGCCCTGCGAATGCTGCTCTTGGTATCCATCCATCTGATCGCAGTAAGAATCGGTGCTTTATAATCCGAAGGCAAGTAACCCACCCATTAAACCCCCAGCTCCATGGCCACGTGGAATTCAACAACCTGCGCTGCGTGGTACGCGACAAGCGCTTCCTGACCTTTGAATACTGCCACCTGAAGTCCATCAATCGCACCTACAAGTACGCCTCGCTGAAGAGCAAGATCCAGCAATTGCCAATCGACAACTGCGTGGTAAGATTACGGAATGCCGATCGCTCTTGGGCTGGCCTCCTTCTTATGCCCCCCTAGACCCTGTTCCAGGTGAGGCTGCGGGAGAACAAGCGGATCCTGTACAACTTCGACCTCAAAGTGGATGGCTGCAAGTTTATGAGGGAGCGCAACAACGTCCTCGCCAACTGGATATACCAGACCTTTGGGCCCTACTCGAACATGAACCACACCTGTCCCTACAATGTGAGTGTTGTCCTGGCTTCGAACATGATGTCCTCAAACCTAATTCTGACCGATTTCAGCACGACATCGTTCTGGACAAGCTGCCGGTGCAGCACGTGAACAGGCTTGTCCAGTCGGTCATTCCCGATGGCAGATACTACATGAACAGCACCTGGGTGGTTAACAGCATTCCGCGGGCCGAAATCGTCCTTTACTTCACCAAGAGTTGATTGAGAAGAGTCTGGCACTGGGATTATCTATATACAGTTGATTTATTTTAGTATAAACTATTATCTTTTTAAGAAAAGATTGCAATCTGCCTGGAAAGCATAGTAGAACATTTTATATTGTAAATTAGACATAAAGCTCTTTAGCTCTCAGACCAAACTTGGTGGGTTAGTTGTCGTTGATGTTGTTTGAATTTTAGCAGACCGTATTAAATATTAATATGAATCACTGATGATCAAAAACACTGAGGTGTTATTGAGGCCATCAGAATGCATTTTATTTTTGCACAGCTGTCTGAGCTGTGACCCGGATGAGCCGGCGCACCTGTTGTCCTGTCAAGTGGCTACTGCTAATGCGATTAGGGAGGAACATGGAACCCAGGAACCTAGGAACCGAGCAGCTGCCAATCGCCTGGCTCAGCCTACTCTCGTCGTAGTCACACTTAATAAACACAAAGAGAAACAGATACAAATAATATATACATAAATGCACTAGAACACAATCCGAGATCCTGCTGGAGCCACCAAAATGCCGGCGAACATAGTGACCACGGAGCAGGTTGCTCACCAGCGCTCCTTCATCGACAGCATGAGCAAGGTGTCGCGGTCCTGGTGGACGCGCTTTGCCTGGTATCCGCGGATGCAGGAGTGCCACTACCGTCGCATCGACCAGATCTACCTGGAGAGCCGGCAAATGTACGGCGATGAGCACTTCCTGCTCTACGCCACCCGCCGGCGCCTGGACAAGAAGTTCACGCAGACGGCGGCCAATGCGGAGGAGCGATTGGAGAGACAACAGACCATGGAGATCGATGGCTCCGTGAACGTCACGGTGCCAAAAACAACGAACGGGATGTACGGCCTCTTGAAGCCCACGAGCCTGCACTTCTGCTAGTCGGAGTCCACCTGGAGTTCCCCGAAGGGAAAGGGAGCACCCTCCGGCCCAGAGGCAGAGGCAGACACTTGCAATTAAACTATCATCGTCCACTGACAATGCAACTCTCAATGGCCGTCACTCATTACGCGATTTTTGCATGACCGTGCGCATAATTAACAAGGTGAAAATGTCAGTTTAATTCAGCTTCCCCCCCTGCGTTTGCCGAGTGCGAGTGTTCACTGTACCCCCCGTTCCACAGGCCTCAGGTTCCCTACACCGGAAAGTTCGCACAGGTAATTAAGTGATCGCGTCTGTCCACTCGATGAGATGACTCGCCTCGTTTGTTCGTCGGCTTGGAAACGGTTTTTATCTTTATTCAAAATGGGAAATATTTCATACTAGCATTTCGCTAGGCATTGGAATTACTTATTGAAACGACACGGGAGTCAATCAAGGGAGAAATGGAGGTCGAAATGCACCATAGTATCCCTGTCTACCCAAGAGTCGTGCTAATATCACAGGCTTCCTTGCTTTATTAATGTATCTTACAAGCGATTAATATGATGTATTTAATATTTTCAAACATTGGGAGTAAAATTAACAATTAATATGTATCTCAGGAAGAGAAGCCACATCTCATATTTTAAATTTAAAAGTCTTTAAACAAGAATGAATGCAACGAATAAATAAAATGTAAAAAGAAACGTATAAATGAATGTTTTTTTGTGACTTCTTTCTGAGGTAAGGAATCTTCTTGAGGAATTGAGCTTGGCCATTCTACACCATTGCAATGATATATGTGTCCATTATGACAGGTGCTCCTCCTTCGCCTCAAAATTCCGGACGTAAGCACAGGTGTGATGGCAGAACTTTCGCGCAGTATGATTTAAAAAGTTCCATATGCAAATTACAGCCAAAGTTTCCCTCCGCCCATCGGAGTGCGCTGGTGGAAGCGGCGGAAAATCGGTGCAAGGAAAAATGCCCATGCAAGTGTGCAAATTACACAAAGAGAACGCGAACTTCGGCCAAAGTTCCGAACTGGGCCAACGCGGGGTGACTCTCATTAGACACATGACAGCATTCACAGGCACCTGGCCAAAGAGGAAGGGGGTGGCGGGGGAGCTGGAGCTGGAGCTGGAGCTGCCCACCTGCGAATGCGTGTGAAAAATCAGTCAGCAACGGCCCACAAAATCGCCGCAGCTCGCAATTAAACGGTAGCGGATAATTGCTATCGAAGCCATAATGATGGCCAGATCAGTACTTGCACACACTCGACAGAGACACACACTCGCACACTCGCACAGGCGGTGTGTCTTGATTTCTCCGCTCGATTCTGGAGAGCTTGTGCCTGCCTTTCTGGGCGGCTTCATTGTTTGCACATTTTTCCCAGCACCATCGATGCGAACTTTTCGGGAACCATTAATGCTTGACTCGATTCTGTTGAATCATCCATCAGTAAGAGAGATCAGGCGGCAGTGACTTACACTCTGTTTTTGGCAGTGTTTTTAGGCCAAAAGACAAGAAAAAACGGGCCAGAAGAGAGACTCTGCGCTGAGTTCCATTCAAAATAAATAAACACAGAGACACCTACGAGGAGGAGGAGTGGATGCAGTTAGGAGCTGTGAGTGGATACACTCAAAGAAAAGGTTATATAGCTGAGAACATACTATAGAAAAATATGGGAGAGACAAGGAGGAGATGAGCTGAAGCCTCTTCCCTCCAAGAAATCTTAATAAACTCTTCCCAAATTTCTCTTGGTGTAGTTGCTACACGGGCTGGTCTGGGCCTAGGAGAGGTCAGGGGTCAACCCCTTTTCCTTTGTCCAAAATAAACAACATTTGCTGACTTCACTCCAGGGCTCAGACAGCATTGCTGATCCTATTAGTGCTCGCCCAGGGACAATGGCCACGATTGACTGACTGGCGCCATGTCTCAGTAAGGACTCAGCTCTCTCCCTGTCCCTTTCGTGGCAGAATAAGTCCAGGGATTAGGGCGTAAAAGGGACTTAATCCAGTTTTGCATCGTTCTCCCTGCTCCTCGCGCAGGTAGAGGGGAACAGGTCCCGGACACCGCACACAGGAAAAGCCAAATAAAATAATAAAGAACTAAATACGAAAGACGAAACATTAAATAAATAAAAGTCAACGCCAGAGAGCAGCTCATAAACGCCGCAGCTCCAGCTTTAACTTCAAATTAAAACGCCATTGGCGCTTTGGCACGCATAGACCGGGGATTGGGTTTGGAAATGGGACTGAACTGAGTTTGGGATTGAGACAGGGACCTGGACCTGGACTTGGACTTGGACTGGGACTCGGACTTGGACTCCTCCATCCAGAGCTGGGTCGTCCATCAAACTCTTTTTGGTTTGCCGCCGCCAAGCCAATTTGCCAATTTCATAAACTCGGTTTGATTTGCCGCCAAAACCAAAAAAAATCAAAATAAAAGAAACCGAGAAGACAAAACGGAGAACCGCAAAGGGAAACTGAAAATAAAACCCCAAAAACGCCCCCAGGCCGGGCAGACAAATTCCGACTACTTCCATTTGAGAGATCTGTTGTTTTGGCGGAAAAGGTGGCCTAGACCTAGGAAGGTAGCTTGGCTTAGGTATTCATCAAAAAAGCCTTCAGCCGAAACCAAGGGCGTAGGTGTGGGGTAAAATATTAATAAAGGTGTCTTACAAAATGTGTCTAATATTGAATAAAAATACTTTTAATCTTTAGATGAATAAATCGCAGAATTCTTATTATATATATGTGTCTTTGAATTAATTAATAATGGGGATTTTTCTCTTATTAGAAATTTGAGGATATATATCACAGAAATAAATTAAAATTACAAGTTAACTGAAAAGTTCATGATCTGTTAAAGATTACCCATGTTTTAAAGTGAGATTATTCTATATTTCCCCACAAAATAACACCGAAATTAGACACAAAAACCCCGCCATTCATACTGCAGACATTGTCTTTGGCTACGCCACTGGGCAAATTACACTTATGGCCATAATTCAATCAGCGCATTATCAATCACGGCGGCTACTTGTCTTGGCCAGTGAGTCAAGTCAATCAGGCATCGGTGCTCTCCCTCTCCCTCTCCCTCTCTCTGTGTTGCTCTCCCGCTCGCACTTGAGTGTGAAACACGTTTGAAAGTCATTAACTTAAATGATTCACTTTCTGAGCCATAAATTTCGCCACTAACTGGCGAGGAGCCAGATCCAGAGCCAAAGAGCCAGCGCAGCAATCTCAGAGTGTGCGCGAAAATAACGTCGACAGAAATGTCTTAAAAAATTGCTAAATAATCGCCTTAAATGAGTCTATAAAAATGAACACCCGAGAGCAGTGACTAGAGATCATGAGCAAGTCCAGGAGGAGACCCAAGAACCAGTGGCTCTATCCACCAAAAACCACCAAAGTGAATTTTCATTGCCAGCGGAAGTCGTAAATCAATTTTTCCCCCGCCGAAAAGAAGCCTAAAAGTTAGGCCTAGAAATCTAGGCGGCGGCGCCCAATTCTGGAAGAGAGAGAGCGAGAGATCCATCCGCGATGGATGGCTCCTATACCAATTTCGGCTAAGACGACAGCCATAATGATAGGGGCCACTTTTGCCGCCGTCGAAGCCACGAAGCACGCTATGGCCAACAGACGCAGGAAAAGGGGGAGGAAAACGGTGCTCAAGGGGGGAAGGGGTTCGGAACGGAAGGGGCCAACTTGTCAGAGTCTCTCAGACATTGTGTATTTGTGTTTCATCTACGTTTCCGTTTCAATGTTTCTACCAAGACGCCATCATGACAATGTCAGCGGCGGAGGCAGCAGCTACAAAAAACACAAAGAGACGACATCTCACGCAGCCAAAGAATGGTAGTTGGGGAAGTATTACCAACATGGAGTGAGTATAAGAAAGATGGAGATTATTGTTTACTATTTATAGCATTAAAAACTTGTATTGTTTTGAATCACTTCTAATTTAAATAAAGCAAACACACATCTCACATTTACAAAGGCTACAAAAAAACTGTTGAAAAGAACCCAAAGTAGCCTTAAATTTTATCCCGAAATAAAGGGAAATCCCATCGGGGAGCAGCAGCCGAGGGAGCCAACAACGCCTATTCTGTCTGGCCAAGATTAGACAAAAGGAGGTCCCAGTTCTAGTCGCAGAGCCGCTGCCAAATGGGATTATCGATGAGCTGTGAAATCCCTTTAGGCGGAAATGCCCAAGGAACCCACACACACAGACCCGGGACAATGCAACAAGTGTTGCGGCAGATTGAGCAACAAAGGACTCATAATTGTGGCAGCCACACAAAGCGACACATTCGGCCAGGACACAGGACGAGGGTCGGGACTATGGCTAATGAGTGGCCGCTAAACAAACCATAAAGCAGTCGTAGCCATCCGGCACGCTGATTTGGCGGCAACTTCTTTCAAGGCCCACTTGACACTTGGCCGGGACTAGGATCTCCTCCTCCTCCTCCTCCTTGCCTGCTTGTGGTTTTCCCTTTGAATTTATGTCTGACAATATTTGGAAAATTAAATCATTGCCGCGGACAGTTTTATAGTCCGAGGGCGTGACGAGATTGAGAGGAGTGGGAGCGAGGGAGCAGAGGTTTTCCATAGCTTCTAACAATGACCTGTGGGCCTGCGGGCTCCGCTTAACCCTCGACTGCCTGGGACACACGGAATGGGGCAAATTGGAAAAAATGTCAATTATGCGCAATTTTGCTCAAGCAATTGACATTTGTTGCTGGTTGTTTGTGGTGATTGCGCACGCATACATTTGCGCAAATAAATTGACAAATAGGATTTTCGTTTCTCTATGATTTTTTTTTTCTATTTTTTTCATTTTGAATTAATAAATTGCGGCCAATTTGCCGCTAGCCTTGCCAGCGTGGAAAATCAGAGCCATACGCGGATCTGGAGAATATATCAGAAAACAATTCTATTGCGTTGTCTGTAAAATAGCATATATACTTGGTACAGATCCCTGGCTATAGAAGCTGTACAATATCCATGTTATCATTCGTTTTTTTTTTTCAAATCAAGAGTAATTACGTTTAATTGCTTTTTTTGCAATTGATTTTGCTTTGATCTTTGCTTTTCCACTGAATGGATTGGGGCGTCCAGTACGGACAGATATAGATCGGGAACTTGTTTTCAACTTGATATATGTAGTTAGTACCTACGTACGTCTCTCTGAGTCATGGAAAATGTTAACTTTGTTGTTTAATTGTGAGTTTTTCCCCTCGTAATACTATTGTAATATTGTAATACTATTTACTATATTATTTTTTATATTCAAAGAAATTTATACTATTTAAAAACAAATATGTAACTTAAATTTTTAATTATTAATATCCCAAGTTCTATATAATTCTACATCCATATCTACCTTCAATCTCCCTGGAAATTTCCGCTGCTCTTTTGACCCCTTAACTTTTTCCGATTACTATTCAATGGCAATACAAAGATTAAAGATTAAGCGGATTGGGTGAAGTGGAGCACTCATCCCCCACTCGGATAACCCAAAACCCATCCCCATCCATCCGTGCAATCCATTCATGAATGACCTCGACCAAAAATCAGACCGAAAAACCAAACCAAACTGAATCGAAAAACCTTTATCGCAAGCCGGCAATCGAAACGGAAGTGGCGTTCAATTTATGCATGAAATTATCCACTGTG